CTAGCCTTCCAGCCATGATGGCCGGCCATTTATACAAAAATATGGGGCAGTCGGGTACTGCAAAAATGGTACCTGGTACAGTAGTGCTTTATCTCAACCCAGAATACACTATGACGGTTATCTGTTTGCTTCACCTACTTTTTCCTACCATGTTGCAGTGCCTCCTCCACTTATTTATAGTTTTCGGTCCATATTCGCCCAGCTCTTCATTTATAAATCGTCTACCAATGTCTCTGCATTGGGCTGCTAAAATTGGGTATTGATCTCGACTGAGCCGCCGTTATTCGTACTCTTTTTCACTGAATGTGTCTATTATAACGTCTAGATTCATCCGCGACTGCTGCCACATCCCATTAATATTAATTGCAGCTTCTTTTTCATGCTTGTAAACTCTCTGGCTCTAGTTTATTTTTGTAAACAGTTTGCTGAATTATTTTTGGACTCATACATGTAGGCTTTCTATTGAGCTGAGCTCAGTTTCTATCACAGTTATTGTGATTCCGTCAGCATACACGAAGATTTAGATCCCTTGCGACCTTCTCTGTCGTTCACTTAAATGCTTTTGCGACGAAAGCACACCATAATCTAATTTTGAATTCCGTCCAAAGCTTGAAGCTCATATTTTTTGGCATCCAAAAAGAGTTTATATGCAGTATTTTCAGCGAAATAAATTAATTTTGAATAAAATAAAATTTTGTTTTTATAGTCTCGTTTTCCGTGCGACACTATTTTATGTGCCCCAAAATATGCAGGAACTCCCTTTCAGTGCGACAACCCCACCCATTTCGAGTTCATACGCAACGCATTGCCTTCAAACCAAACCAAATGCATGTCATTACCCAGACGTATACTGACCAATTGCTGCCCTCCCACCACTACCTTCAACCACTGGACGCCTTTAAAAGTTGGCTTTTATTATATTTTTTTACTTTGTTGCTCTCATTTTTCTACACTCAGTCATTCACTCATTCATGTTTCTGGGTCAAGCATTTATAATTTTTGACATTTCCCAAGCTTATGCCCACGTCTGCATGTGCATAGTTTTGCGGTAATTTTATTATATGCGTGATTTTGCGGTCAAACAATTGACCAGCCATGGGCACGCTGTGAACACGACCGACCACTGTTTTTCCTTAACTCTGAGTGACACGGTCATGTGTTTAGCTCCTGCCACGCGCTATTTACCGGGTTTTATTGCAGCGGTGAAAGCGTTCGGTTAGGCGGCAAGGGAAGGCAGGGGTAGGCAAGGCAAGGAAAAGCAAGGCAATTAATATGTGGTTAAAGTTTTATGTTTAATGTGGGTCAATTGAATTTGTTGATCGTCTTGATGGGCAGTTGCAGTACCGATTGACAGCTGCAATACTCTGGTAACGGTAATATGATATATTTCTTTGATATTTTAATTGACCCGGCTGGCGGGTTCGGATATCTTTGTAGGCCATTTGAATTTGTTTGAAATGACAAGAAAATTTAACTAAACCAGAAAACTCAATTGAAAAAGGAGAAGAAATGAACCATACGAAACCCATCTGTCAGGAAAGCCACAATACAAAAAACGATTAATTTTCTAATTTTCCAACTTTTCTCAACTATTTATTTCAATGACGACTCTCTGAATGACGACTCACAGTAGCTACGTGGTTAGCATTGGGTACAGTGTTCGAGCCCTGGTTAGAACTCTTGGCAGGGAATGCCAACCGCTTGGAGTATATTTCTGATTCGAAATAAAAAGCTCCTCATGGAAAATTCTTCAGAAAAAAACGCACCCAACAAATTGCAGAAGGAGTTCGATAGAAAATTTCTTCAGTTCACTAAAACTCGCGAGCAATATCTTCTTTATGTAACTTTGCTTCCATGCGAGGTTTAATAATTGGCGCTTTGTAACCGCTGAATCGATTTTTCGGCAGAGCTTCTCCTCTTATTTGTGGTTTTGCGTCTTGATGTTTTTCCAACAAATAAAGGGACCTACAATTTCTACTAAGACGCCTCCGAACGCCTGATGTTTTTTTAAGAGGAGCCTTTATTTCAGGTCCAAAATGCACTCGGAGGGGTAGACATTCCCTGCCGAGGGACTACCGCAATTAGAAATTTTTTTTATTGAAATTAATTTTCCATAAATTTTTGTATGCTGGTGTCACCGGGATATGAACCCGAGCCTTCCGAATGTCAGTACGCAATGCTAACCATTCGGCCACAGCGGCCGCCGATGCCAGGTCAACGACACTCCCTGGCCCCTTGAGCACCATGCAGGACAGTCACCTCATCTGGTGTCACCAGTAAGCACCACATCTGAAAGTTGCTTTTTGGTAATACCTCTTTCGGAATTGACCTTTTTGACAGTTGTTACTTGATTTTTACTTAGTTTGGTTTGACATTTCACAGCGAAACAGATTTAAACCTGAACAACGCTTGCAACTCGTGCAAATTTATTACCAAAATGAGGTCTGTCCAATATTATGTGGACATAATCGCACAGTACACAGTAAAGTCGATAATTCGAGCACCCATGGATTGGTTTCGCTCCACATTTTCTATTGTGGCTAAAGTGCACCCTCAAAGATGCGGTACAGTGCGCACCCAACACGCTATAACTACTGAGTATCGAAAAAAGACCTCGGCCAAACGATTGGAGCTGTGCTCGTCCACTTTGTAGAAGTTTTTGCGTAAGGATCTCGGTTCGTCGGCTTAGAAATCCAACTCGGGCAAAAACTTAAGTCAAATGACCATCAAGCTTGTCGCCCAACGTTCCCGATTTTCACAAGAAAATTTTGTTCAGCGATGAAGCTCACTGTTGGCTGAATTGCTATGTCAATGAATTAACATTATTAATAATGATAATCCACAAGTCATTGTTCCGACGTCCTCAAAAAGTCACTGTTTGGTGTGCTTTATGGACAGAATCAGTTTCAATAGTGAAGCTGACCATAATGTAACAAACAGTGGTATGACCAACTACTTTTTCGTGCCTGAATTAAAAAATATGTATATGATCGCACGTTGGCTCCAACAAGACATGTAGCACCGTCTTGCCAACAAAATAACCAATTATTCAAGGAAACTTTTGGAGACCGCATTACCTTGGGTCAATGGGCTGTGTGGGCTTGTGACCTCCAAAATTTTGCGATTTATCACCACTGGACAATTTTTCGTGGGCTATGTGAAAACGCTTGTCTACGCAGATAAGGCATTGAAAGAGAATATTCGGAACGTTATTGCTGACATACGTCCCATTTGCTGCAAAAAGTGGTCGAATATTACTGCTCCCTTCTGGATGTCTTTCGAGCACCTGCTCGGAATCATTTTTGAAACACAATTGCAAACCCTTTTCTCCCCAATTTACATCTAAGTTGCGTTCTTTCAGACATAAAGAACTTCTTATTAGTCTGGCATTTCATTCCCCTTTACTCCTACGAGTGCAGGAGTTCGAGAAGTTTTCCTAAGCTGACGTTCAAACAGTAACCAGTTAGTTCCTCTAGAAATATGCTCGATTTTGACAATCGACGACCTTCAGCTACTGTCTTAAACTCTCTATTTCGTTCAATCACAAATATTGTGAAGACACAATCAATATTGGTGGAAGCCCATTTTTGTGAGGTTTATCTACTAGGATTTGCTCATAAATGCTTTCAAAAGGCAAGTAGTTAAGCAACCTTTCAACGCCAAACTTTCATTGCTTTTGTAGATGGGACTTATTTGCTGAACACAGAGTACATACAATACAACAGAAGCACTGAAAACAATCCTTCCGTTGGTCTTTTACAAGTCGATTTCAAGTATTTTTTCATTCGAATGTAGTACCACAGACAACCTAAAGGAGGGAAGATTATATTTCAAAGGCTGAACTTTGCGACTGGAATTTAACATCGTGGCGTGGGTATATGCTACAAGGACTTATATTCATATGTATTTTTTTGAATATGCCATTCCGATCCTGACCACGAGTTGTTACTACGAGACCTTCATTGTTGCATACCACCTATGTGACCTATGAATTAATGGGAACTGCGGCCATATGCTCATTCCATGCTGTTTGATTTTCGGTAGCAGAGTCTCTCTCCAAAGCTGGAGTTTCTGCCTTCAAACCTAACAATTTACGATATTTTTTTGGTCTCTACGATGGGCGTTAAAAAGTCACCTTGTGGTGGTCATAATGACCTGAGAAAGTCTATCGATCGGGTTTTAGTAAATAATAAAAATTGTCTCAATTGGTATCCTTAAAGTTGGGACACTACGTTGTCGGATGTTAGGCAATGTGAATAGCGTGATACTCGCTTGTTTATTCGTTTTATTTGTTTTTTGTTTTTAAAATTAAATTAAATAAATAAATATATTAAATAACAAATATTGCCCGGTTATTTTCGAATAAAAAGCGCTAAATAGATGTGCCACTCGCTCATTGCTGAGGTGCTTAATTGCAGAAGTTGCTCGAATATTCTTGAAACAAATCTTAAAGGTTTTACATGAGCCCTCAAAGCTTTCAAGATTTTCGACGGTCCCATTGGCTAGAACATGAACTTTATTTATGCCAAAGCAATCACTTTTTCCTTCCCCTCAACTCTTCCGAAGTGCTTTAATTATGTAACCTACCTACATACCTGTCAAAAAAGCCTTCGAGTGCCGTACTCCTGAAAGTATGCAACAAGTTGACTAGTTTATAGAACTGCAAAGCACTTAAAAGGCAAACACAAAAGGAGTTGGCTTGCAATAACCACTAAAAGGGCGTTGCTTCCCTGAACTTCGCTATTCAAAAACTTTTTAATTATCTTGCAGAAATCTGCAAAAACAAATGCAAAGAGAATGAAAGCAATAAATGATTGCTAACAAAAGTTTGTGGTGAACACAAAGCAAGCGTGACTTTTGTAATAAAAGTTACCATGCTTCCATATAACCAGTTTATATACAGATGTGGTCATATATACATATATGAGAGATATATTCTCATATAGTTTTATGGTTTTCTTAGTTTTTTCTTCTTAAAGACTCACATACTCGTAACTCACCTTTGCATAACAAATTTGTCCACATTAACGAAACGTCGACCATTTGCGGTGACTCCACTTGTGTGCTGTTGTTGTTGTTGTTGTTTTTGATTTTGATTGCCTCTTGCTGTAGCTGTTGCCTGTGCAGCAGGCGTGTTACTGTTATTATCTATAGTCGTATAAATCGTGTAGGTTCCATCCAAATCGTTGTTCTTGTTGCCATCAGGCGTTGCATTGTTGCTATTTTTGTTTTGCTCCTTTGGAGAATTTTCGGCCGAACGGAAATTTTCTATTTTCGTGAGAAAACCAGCGAAAACAAAAAATAAAAATACTTAAATTTTTGCAGAAAATGCAATTAAATTATCAATCAAACCTGGAGCAAAAACGCTACCGCGTGCTGCCTGCATGGCGCGCGTGCCCACCACAATTGGTTGCGCCAAGGACGAGTGTTGCGCGTGTCTTTGTTGCTGCTGCTGCTGCTGAGATTTTCTGCGTTGTTGTTGCTGCTGCTGCTGCTGTTGGTGTTGGTGTTGTTGTTGTTGTTGCGGTTGAGCGGGCACGCCGCCATAGTTGATTTTCGGATACGTTGAACTTATACTAATTTGTTGTTGTTGTAGCTGTGCATAAGCGCCCATGCCCGTCATGTATGTGGGTGGCTTATGCACGCGCATATATGTGGAGTTCACATCCATGCGATCCATGGCTGGGAACCTGCAAGTGGGATTTTTTTTTGTCGCATTTAGTGTACATAAATGTTTGTATGTAGGTAAATAGGTGGTTGTGCAGTGAATATGTATATGTAAAGAGTGTTAGTTAGTTTCGGAAGTTCGAGCTCGTGCAAATTCTATGTTTGGAAATTACCGTGAGTTTACTGTCTGCCGTGTAAATCTGCCGCTTATGCCCGTACAGCTGTCATTAGTCGCTGGTTTGCCGCTGCCATTGCACTTGGCGGCAGACTTGTCTATAGTGCTGCCAACACTACCGCCGCCACCGCCACCACCGCCGCCACTGCTGCTTGTGTAATTGCTGTCGGAACTTCTGCCTTCCATGGAGGAGTCCGAGCATGATTTGGCTACGAGTCGTCGGCTCATATAGTTGTTGTAATCTGCTGGAAAAGCGGGGAAATATAATAATATGTACACATTTCATTATGTGTTGCAGCTGTGTGTGTGTGTGTGTGTGTGGTAAATAGAAAATAGCGCCATAAGCCAAGGCAACAATAAACTAATGCACAGTTATGAATGGCGGCTGACATTTACTGACATTTTTATGTATTTGCACACACAATAATACACACATAGATTAATATTTATGCGAGCGTTGTTAGGTCAACGTCATAATAAACAACCAAAAATGTGTATTGAAAGAAAATGGGTCGAGTAAGCGGATCCCGGCGCCGACGTTAAAGGCCAATAAATGTAAGGTTGCTTGTTGATAATGAAAATCACAATTCGTATCGATAATTCGCTGATAATATGCATACATAAATATATTGATAGCAATAAAAGGAAACATAAAAACTTGCTTATGTAGGTCGTAGGATATTATCCATATTGTGTTGTTTTTTTTTTGTTAATTTTTGCTTACCAATTGTTGTTTTCTTTGCATTGTGTCCGTAAGGCAATGGCACATTGCTGCCAAGTATATGATGGAAATTGTGTGTATGCAAATCGTTCTGGAAATAGAAAAGCGGAAGTAAAGTTAAAAGAAATTCTTTTCTGTTTTGCGCCTAAAGCTATGCAACACATTTTTATTTTGGAACTGCAACTAAAAGCTGTGTTCCGTAACAAATCCAAATTTCCTTTTTTTACTCAAATTTTCTTTTTTACAAATATTTTTCAATTGAAATACGATCAGAATCAAAAATAGTTTTATCAATCATATCGGAATTGAGAAATTTAAATAAAATCAAATTCTATTTTTACTGTTAAAACTCACTATTACTGTTAACATTCATATAAGTCTGTTTGTAGTTGAATAATTTTACAGACAGTTATATGAAATTTGACGCGCTTCTCGTTAGAATTGTAAAGTAAAGAAAAGATTATTGCCTGACCACAACAAAGTCGTTTTTGACTCATTATTTGATTAATAATTAACCAATAATTCGATTTAAGCTTGTTAAATTTTTTTTTGGCCAATACCGTTTGAATAAAGATCTCATATTCACTGTATTAAATAAAATAATGTTTATTTCTAAAAAAGTCATTGTATTTATTCTTCATTTTGCTGTCACACCATAGTTGTTAGAAGATGGTTATAAGGAACATTGTCCCTGGTGTGATTTTTGGCTGTTTCCAGTTTTGCCTTTGTAAATTCTAGAAGTGTCGTCCATTTGTCTATATTTTAACTTTTTATGTTTGACTAGCGGGTGGGGGTAATTATAAGTATACTCAGTGGTTTCACAATGGAATGTGAAGTGGTTAAGCCAAAAACAAATAAATGTTGTATAATATTTAATTTTTGTCCAATTTTTTCCGCTTTCAACTTCAATTCTTAATACTTTCATTAAGTTAAAGTCAAACCGGCTGCACCTCTGATAAATATTTTCTTCATACCCGAACTGCTCATGGTCTTTGTTTAGTACTTTCTGTTTAATTAAAATGTGCCAGTGTGGGTTTCTCTAAGGAAGAATCACTTTTACTTAACCTAACCTACGCCAGGTATTGAATTTGAAAATGGGAATAAAATTTTAATAGAATCAAATTAGTTTAGTCCTTTGATGTAGTGTTAAAAGTATGTCTTTGTGTTTATAGCTGAAAAACCTTTTCAGGGCTCTATGAAGTAAGATTTTCGTTGTTAATTTTTTAATATTTGTGCCAGAATTAGCCAGAAAAGTAAGGAAACAGAACTAGAATTAAAATATATGTACCGTTTGAGCGCACAATTTGCATACTTTTAGGCGTAAACCACACAAAATGGTTAAAGCTCACAGCCCACAGAGTATTTAAGAATTTTACTAGATGAGAAATTTGAAATAAGAAAATGTTTTTGAAAAATTAGATTAGAAAGAATTTTAATTAAGTTAATAATGCCGTTTTAAAATAAGTTTAATGTCAAATCCTGGCATAAAATAATATCTTCAATTAGTGAGATTTTACTCTTATTATTTTAGATTCTGAAATCAGACAGAGCATTATGAACTCTATAAATTGTATACTAAATTTTTTATTAGTTTCTGCTGAATTCCCATACATACATACATATTTGTATGCACACATGCAATTTCATCACTCACCCAAGGCTTAAAATTTGCCGGCACCAAGTTGAACATAGGAAACGCTTGATAAATATCGACCATTTTTCGTCTACTATATTTGGGATCAATCACAAATGGTAAAACCATTTAATATTTCAGGCGATTTTTAAAATATTTCAGAGTTTAATTTCTTTAAAACAACAGCCCACTTTAAACACACCCACATGCACACACTCACTCTAATGCTTTTTTTTTTTGCGATTGAAACAAAAACCACTTCCTGTTATTGTGCAAATCGCAAGCAAAGGAGCTTCCGTGCGAAAAATTCGCTGCAAACCTTAGGCAACAAAAGACGAACTGCAACTGTCTACTCGCAGGCCGTGCGGTAGTCAAGCACTACTACAGACAGCGGCGAATAAACAAACTTCGGCAGACCAATATATATGTAAGGCTTTGAAGTTTAGAAATACCAACAAACAAAAATTTATGTCTATATGGGCATGTGAAATTCTACATACATAAAGCCGCTGTTCCTCAAGCGAGCCGTCAGCCACAAGCGTAAAAAAGTTAACTTTACTTGCATGTTTTTGTATTTATTTCAAACGATTTTCATTTGGTGTTTGTATATTTGTGCTACCAAAATATATTTAACACTTTGTTAGCGTCTTTAGTCAGGCAAACCTGATGGAAAATTTACATTTGTATCATATTTTTAAATGTATCTATGAAGTGCTTGGCTGCGGGAGTTGGTAGGAAGTTAAGTGTGTAGGTGAATATATATTTATTTTGATTTAATGTGGGTGTAAGTTCTGACTGCGTACAAATGTCTTATCTCCCACATTCGTTAGCGGGTATAACCGATTTGATTTTCCACGAATTTCCCATAGCAGTTTGTTTTTTTTTTGGTGGGTATGCTTGTTAAGTGACTAAGCAAATAACCGTTCAAATGAAACCGATTACTTTAGAATTTTTGAAAAAGATATTACTTGACTGCATAAAACTAATTAAATATGTGTAAGAAACTAAACACTATTATTATGTTGATTTATAATATATATATAAAAAAAAAAATAAATAAGTAATAAATAAAAAATAATAAATAAATGAGAAACTTGAGAAAAAAGTAAATAATGTAAATAAATAAATAGATAATAAGCAAAAATAAAACAATAATAAACAACTAAATAAACAAACAAATAAATAAAAAATTAAATATAAAAAATTATAAATAAAATTTAAATGAATAAATAAATAAACAAATATAGCTAAATAACAAAAAAAAAATAAACAAATGATGATAAATAATATTTATTTTTTATTTATATAAATACAAACGATATTGTCTACCACTAGTTATATAAACCACATGTTTTGGTCAAGTAAAAAGTTCGTTCGGTTTTTATCTAAGAGATGGCGTTATTGTCCATTTTACTAGTGTTACGTGTCGCATCATATCATATTGTACTATACGTGTTTATTCGCGCTAAAAGTTTGTGAATATGCACAAAATTTGTTTGCCAGGTTCCGTACCGGTAATTTCGATGTCAAAGATGCACCACGCGTCGGGAGGCCTGTGGTCGAAAATTGCGATAAAATCATGGTAATAGTGGAAACAGATCGTCACGTGAGCACTTATTCAATTACTGAGGAATCCAGAAAACCGTTTGGAACCATTTGCATAACCTTGGATTCACCCGATGTTTGGGTGCCACACGAACTAACGTAAAAAGACATGATGGACCGAATTTCCTTCTGCGAATCGCTGCTGAATCACAACAAAATCGATCCGTTTCTGAAGCGGATTGTGATTGGCGATGAAAAATGAGTTACTTACGACAACATCGCGTGCAAACGGTCGTGGTCAAAGCTCGGGGAAGCGGCCCAGACGGTGGCCAAGGCCGAATTGACGGCCAGGAAGGTTATGCTGTGTGTTTGGTGGGATTGGCAAGGAATCAGCTACTATGAGCTGCTTCCCTATAGTCGAACGCTCAATTTGGCCCTCTCCTGCCGACAAATGGTCCGCTTGAAAGCAGCACTCATCCAGAAGAGGCAAACTTTGATCAACAGAAGGCGAATTGTGTTCCATAAGGACAACGCCAGGCCTCACACGTTTTTGGTGACGCGCCATAAGCTGCAGGAGCTCGGATGGGAGGTCCTAATGCACCCACCATATAGTCCGGGCCTGATACCAAGTGATTACCATCCTGTCAATGGCGAACGCGCTAAATGGTGACAAATGTAAACAAATGAACTTTTTACTTGACCTAATAATATAAAAGTTCCAAACCGTAAATCAAAACGCAAGCAAAAAATTGAAAGAAAAGTTCAGTTGTAAATCGCTTAAGTGGTTATAAAACACCAATTTGAGTTAGGTGAGATTGAGCCAGTTTAATACGTCAGTAATCCCGAATAGAAAACACCAAAATTATAGCGTTACTAGAAACTCCACCGCTGACCAAGCGGCAATTTCCTGAATTTCCTGCCTTTATAACCATCAACTAGACCTAATTTGAAGGCAAGCATGCAATGATCAGTTAATAGTACTGCCAAGAACTTCTATTTTAACTGCTTTGTCGCTGGTAAGAACTTAATAAGCTTCGTGCCATATGCTTTGCGAATCAAGTGCGCCATTCTGCTTGCCCTTTTTTGTTGCAAAATATTTTAGCTTGAAGAGAGTTTCTTGTTCAAATTTCACTTTACTGAGATAGACCGACAAATTTACAATTAAATCCAAAGACTAGATCTTTTGCTAATTCATCCATCATTTATTTGCCTGTGATGCTGACATTTTTACAGCAAGTATTTTGGCTAGGAAGATACTACAGCGGTTTGACAGCTTGAATGACTTTTTTTTTTTTAGCTCCGATTGGGTGCAGTACACAGCAGACCCCACTACGCCATTTATTTTAGAATCAATCGTAAAAGAAAGCTAGACTTTGACTGGGAATTTGCTATATACATCTGACTGAATTTTTGCTACCACAGGCTTTTCGAAAGTCAGTCGAAGCACAATTTGTATTCATTAGAACAACGCTGTAATACCGCTCTCAATCCCACTGGAGTACTTTATATAAGGGCTTCGTGCAATATTGAGCATCGAGAGTTCCAGATATGTATATTCCGCAGCCCTCCATCATAGTAGAGTTCCCTACAAAAGTTTTGGCTTAATAATCGTAGAAAGGATCCAAATGGTTGCTGAAAGGTTTCGGTTGCAACCCAATATTCTTTTGGATTCATGTTATAAAGATCTGTTGATGCCTTCCTCGCTCGTTTCCCTACATTGAGCCTCCACGACAACTTGCTGTACAATAATATGCCCAAGTACTTAACGTAGTCTTTCGGCTGTAAAGCGGCCTCTTCTAACTTTGGTTTGATCCATTGTAAGGTAAAGGTGAACAAAATTTGTTTTTCGAAAACAAAGCGATCGAGAAGTTGATTTGATGTACAGATTAAAAAAAACTCCACGACCACGAAAAACTGAAAAAAAGGTATACAATTTATTTAACAATTTAAAATGGGATTGATGGAGCATACGAGGGAGGGGGGGGAGGGCTGATAAGTTCGCGACCTGAAGTAATTAGATGACACATCATCTCTTTACTGATAGTACAAGTTGCGGGACTCATTATTAGTATAAATAACACAACATTTCGTTCCTGGAAGAAGCAATAACCCTTTTTTAATGGAAGCTGGAACGTATCGCAATTCGGAGCACCACCCTGTGATTAAAGCCCTTGTGAAAAAAGGAAGTACTTTAAAAGGACTCTGCCCTTTCATTTACGATTGTGAAAGAAAATGAGCTCGGCCGTTTCAACAAGGTAGAGAGACCTGTGAATATGACCGCCGCTTAGAGCGCCCAGTGACGGTCGTGACCGAAGAATTCATGAAATCTCAATAAAGCAAAGCAAGACAAAAGCAAAATCTTTGTCTGGTACCGGTGAATTTATTTTGTCATCACAATCATGGTGAAAGCGAAAAAAAAATCAAAATAAAATATTATTATGAATTAGCACTTGGGGCTGTGAAAAAGCTCACATGGCATACATACATACATACATATCAGCATGTGCAAGTTTGTTTTACCTAAATATACACTCCTCAATCACTCTCTAATTGCTTTCCAATTAAATCGATATTAAAATTTATAATTTAACAAGAATCGTTATTACTTTTGAGTCTATCTCCATTTATAGGGCAAACTGGAGTTAAAAATCTAAACTATGGGTTACATATAAATGTTACGAGTTGTGTACATAAATAAACTTTGAATTTAAAATGCTTTCGTAGCTTAAGGATGTTATTAAATATGTGGAAGTAGCTTTTAAATGAGGTCAGTAGAACTGCAATCGGAACAACTTGAGTATGGTCAGTCACGAAAAGCTCAATAAATTATATATGTATGCACTCGAATTATGTCACAACTATTATTAGCGCTTTTTACACAATTTTTATTAAATCGACTGACCTGCTTTGGCAAAAACTGGAGTAATTGCTCAGTTGATTAGACTGATTTTATTTATTTAGAAATTTCCAAGAATTAATTATTTGTTTTTGTTGCATATTTTTCAAACGTCGAACAATCAATTGAAAAATTGCGTGAGTGCAAACCGAGCAAACGCAGTTTGGCAAAAAAAAAAAAATTGAAAATATCGCATGACTTACATTACTGGCGGCTGAGTCCTTGAAGTTGCCATAAACATCTGGTGGTGACTGGAAAGCATGTCTGCGCGTGCCATCGCCATCTCCAATGCGAAAACTGCTTAAATATAAATTATTTTCCACAAAATATGCTTAAAAATATTTAAAAACACTCAACTCACCTGCCACACGGCGTGCCCATGGCAATACTGTCCACATCCGAAGCAGTGTGCGGCGGCAAACAACGAAAGCTGCGCCGGGAGGCTCTACGCTTTAGGGAGCCCGGCGACACTGAGCCCACACCCGCCACTATCCACTCGATATCAGCGCCCATTTCGCCATTAGCTGCATCTGCAGCTTCCGCCGAATGTGGTGAGGGCACACGCAGTGCATACTGCACCTGCCCATCAGCGCCCACAATTGGCATCTGTTTACGTGAGAGCCGCGTACGCACGGCCGACAACAACGAGGGACCATCTTCCCGTTCGCCAACTACGTCTTGCACCACATCGACTACCGCACGCACTGTGGTTATCTGCCCCAAGATGGCGAGCACATCTAAGGCGGCTTGACGTACGCGACGTTTACGATTCAATGCGGCGTAAGTGGCGTGAGTGACGCAAGTTGTCGTGTCGAAACAAGTGCTGGGGAAGGTCATTAGTGCGTACATGACCATTTGGAGCGCGTGTTCACGGAACTGCGGGGTGAAGAAGAGTGTAAGCAGCGGTTGGTATTTGTTGAAAAATTAATAATAGCATCAATATGCAAGTGGTGGGCAATTAAATAGAGCAGAAATAAAACGAAGAACATAAAAAGTGCAAATTTAAATTCACCAAAGAAGAACGGAAGTTCAGCCATACTCGGAACACAAAAGTAATCCAACAACAAACAACATAAAAAACAAACACTGCGTTCGCTCACTACCGCAACTGGGCCAGCTGAGCTTCTTAATATGCAAGCATTTCATAATTTCTCATGTACATTTAGCGCAGCGGTCAACCGACCGCTTGACCACACCTCGGCCACTCGCTCAATCGCTACTTATCATATATTTGGCTTTCCTTTTGCTTGTTGCATGTTGCTTGCTGTCTGTTGTTTGTTGCTTGTTGCACTTACCCTTGAGCTCTTTGCATGTAGAAATTCTTGCGACAATAATTTGAGTACAATTGTCGCCGCCGGCAATCGATGCATCAGAGCTTTGCATACACGGTTAGCGCCAGCGCCACCTTGGCGACACAGGCCGGTCATTATTTGTGTTGTGCGATCCTCCAAATTGTCCAGTGGTAAACGTGTTATGAGATTGATTAGTAGCTGTGTTTTGGCTTCCGCCACATCTGGATTACGTTCGGAGGAGAGCAGTGTACGAAGTAAGCTATCCAAACAAGGTTGTACCTGTGCGAGTATGTCCGAGCTGCGTAGCGCCTCTTCGAGTTTTGTGACGCCCTGCAGGCGATGATGCCAGTTCTGGAAAAGTAAAGAGTAGAGTGAAGTTGGTTGTTAGTAGGAGCAGATGAACGAGATGGTGTTTAAAAATTAAGCGAAAGAGGGACTTTGTGATTAACTGTTAAAGCAGAAGGCCTGCATTCCTTTATTGATATTTATTATATATATAATTGGCGCTTTGGCAAGAGTTGGGTTAGGTTGAATGAACACAGACAATATTACGTCCATAGTGTTGCCGGACTTCTTATGTTTGCTTCACTTTCCTGATTGGAACTGGTAGGTTCATTATTACGTTCTGGTCTAAAGGACACTCTCCTTAGCAAGTTCGCGAGCTAAGCTATTGCCTTCAATACCTGTGTGACCTAGAATCGAGTCAAATTAAGATTTTTAAATGCTTTTTCAGTCATTGTTCTGTTGAATTGTTTTTGTGTTTTTTTTTATAGTTTTTATGGAACAGTTTCAGACCATATATTTTTGGAAATAGTGAAGAAATTACCCCGATTAGTTGACATTTGCTGCCGAGGAGCAGGTGGAATTGGGAAAATTAATATTTTATTATATTTTCCATATTATTTTTTGCAGAGGATCTCGAACTAATACGGATTCTTATAGCCTTGGAATATTAATACAATTGGTAGGTGCCTTTGCTACTAGTTAAGCCAAGTCAAACGTGTCGGAGGTAAGAGCTCTTGGTACAAGAAACGCTAAAGACAAACACGGCTCAAGAACGGCACTATAGGATAGCTTATTTAGATAGGGATGTCACTCCATAGCTTGCTGCAGTTTCGGTCACTTACTAATAAGAACAGGGTCACGATGACGAAAACTAGAGATAACATTTTGGGCGACTAGATGGCTGAAGAAGCGACATTGTCAGAACTCCTCCGGTTGCTTAGACCTACAGTTAAAATGGAAATTCCTAAATATAAAAAACTTCTATGAGAAGGTATAATTATTGATGTCCCCCATCAACCTCAACAATCCCGCTGTGAATTCTACATTCTCGAGGATGCTTAAGAATGTAAAGCGCATAGATCTGCTAGTAAATGAGGGCAAGACAAAAAATCTCCTGTCATTAAATAAAACGGTCATCGCATTCGCGACTTAGCTCTAACATCATTGCACGGACACAACTTTGAAAGGGTAAATAGCTTTGTCTATTTATCTAGGAACGGAACCACCAAAAATAATGTCAGTCAATTGAAAAGTAAAGTCCTCTCTCGGCAAGCAAAGCTCTAACTCTACGAGTCCTCACCATTCTCTCCCTGCAGTATAGACAATGGCAACATCTGATGAGAAGACGCTGGAAGTTTTCAAGAGAAAGGTTTTATGCGCATTGATAACGGCGAATAATGTAATCTATGGAACGATGAGGTGTACAAAATAAACATCAGTGAATAAAGACGGGTGAAAAAGGACCTGCATTTACTTGGCGTCCAGAAAAAGTATTCCATTATTTTTGCATTAAATTTAAAGCTTTTTTTTAACATAGTTAGAATTATCCGATTTGTGTCGATAACTTTTTGCCATTTGGAAGATATAGTCATTGCGCGTCACTCATATTCATATTGAAATTACTTGGCGCGTGATCCAGGCTTTAAGAGCCACTCTCTCCAAACTCTCGAATTTTTTGGAGAGTCCTTATCGATGTGTGCTGTCTGGCATTGTCCTGATGAAACACGATTCCCCTGTTGTTGTCGACAGCTGGGCGCTTCTGGTCAATTACATCATTCAGACGGTCCCTTTGCTGATAATACTGATTCCAATTAAAAATTTCGCTGTAGGGGAGCAGCTCATAGTGAGTGATTCCTTGCCAATTACACAAAACATACAACAAAACCTTTCTTGTGATCAATTCTGGCTTGGAGACCGCATTTATCGGATCATCTCCCTTCGACCATGATCCTTTTCGTTCAATGCTGCTGTAAGTGATCCATTTTTCATCAACCGTCGCCATATAGTTCAGAAATTAGTAGATTTGGTTGCGATTCGGCAGGGATTCGCAGATGGAGATTCGGTTTATGAGATTTTTTCTCGTTAACTAAGTCGGAACCATACATTGAGCCTCTTTGTGAATCTAATTTTCTTTCATCTGATTTTTGTGCAATGTTTAGCTCTTGTACTATTAAAATAGTGTTTTCATGATGATCAGATTTGACGAAGTAATCAACACTACTCCAATAAGCATTTTTAGTACAAAATATTAACTTTCTAATACCATCAAACGCATTCGAATCGCGCTTATAGAGTACAAATGATGGATTAATTTTTACTAGACCTAATATATATGATAGAGTCAAAAATAACCTCTTCGAAAAAGTATTTTCGCCATCTTTTTACTGCTTGACTTTTTCTCATAAATCTAATATCTATGACCACATAATCGTATTTCAATAGAAGTTTTGATAAAATAATAAGCAGAAATCGTCGCCTCCACCTCGGCTGACACTTAAAAAGCTAAATTTTTGCCAATATTAGCAACAGTTATTTTCTCTTATCCTTCGAGCCTCCTTAGAAAAAATTACTTAATACTCAACAAACCCTTCGGCATTATTACGAATTAATGGTGAGTTAAGTGAATTTCCTCGAGACAACAAAACAGTTATCTAAAGTGAAATGCAAGTTGTTTTTTAAATTCATGGCTAATTGAAAATAGCCTTGATCACGCGAAGTGAATATAATCGCTTGGGCAATCAACCAAAAGTTGTCATTGAGAGACAGTTGAAATGTTGAAGAAAAAAAAAATGAATAAAAAATAAAAAATGAAAGAAAACACACTAGGAAAAGTAGCGGTAGCCACACCAAACTATTGAATCTTTACTTCGGCTCTCCCTCACGCTGTTTACTATTTGACTAATTTGCGTGCGATTTCCTCTTTTTTCAGTGCCACTCATTGTCTACTAAGGCTTTGTGGTGAGGCAGAAAACTTTTCTTTTTACGAGCCAAACAAAAGGTTATTTTCGAATTTGAAAAATATAGCGGAAGAATTTGCAAAATTTTTTTTACCCCAAATCTTTGATTTTAAGGCAGTTATTGGGCAGAAAAATATAATTATTTTATTATTTACATTAAGTGTTTTTGGTTTTATTTATTTGGCCACTTTCGTTTATTTACAAACCGCTGCCATTGAACTCTGTAATTGTCTAAATGCAGTTACTTTCCTTTACCGCAATACATTTCTCACTAACATACATACATACTAATTTACATACACGTATACTTAAACTTTATTATTTATATATTCAATAATCAACTGCCAAGAAACGCTGTCGATTTTCCAACCGTAACGGCATGTGTCACATGCACGTACATTCTTCTAAATACTCATACTTGGTCTCACCTCAACCACTCGAATGACTATAATCGATATCTTAAGGTGTTGTTGTTTTTGCTGTTGCAAAAGCCAATACTACAATGTAATCGTCATGGCGTGAGAGTGCTTTTGCTGTTGCTTGCCGGCCAAGTTGTTTTTCTTTGAGTTCGTTGCTGGCGTGTGTGTTAATGGTTTTTATATTGGTCGGAGAGTTGAGGTTGTATTGACTCAAGTATTATCTTATGTATCAATGTGCGGGTTTGTCTACTGGTTCTTCAAGGTTAGCAGGCGTTTTTTATATGTATTTGTTTTTTTTTTTTAACTTTTTACTAACACAGGAAAACAGAATGAATTATTTTCCCATTTTAGGTTTACAAGTAAACGAATTAATTTTTAAAAGCTTCAGAAGTGATGTGGCTTGGTAGGCAGTGTTGATGGGAAGTATTTCGAAGCGCGTGGGCACACCTGTACAGCGCGCTTTAGACTGGGTTTACACCTGGACACTGTTGATTTTTAGCGCCAATTTCTCTTTTGATGTTGATAAAAATATTAATACAAATATAAGTATTGCCACATTTATAAAAAAAACACCCTTTGTTGTATTGAAGACACATATGGATGATATAAAAAATTTGAAATTAATATGCAGCTGGCGGCCGCGGTAGCCTAGTGGTTAGCATTGCCGACTGACATTCGGAAAGCTCGGGTTCCATTCCCGTCGCCACAAACATCCAAAAAAATTAAATTGATTTAATTAAAAAATTTAGTTAAATTTACTAATTGCAGTCGCCCCTCGGCAGGGAATGCCCACCCCTCTGAGTGTATTTCGGAAGAAATAAAGACTCCTCGTAAAAAAACCATCAACCGTTCGGAGGCGGCTTAGTATAAACTGTAGATATCTCGATTTGTTGGAAAAATATCAAGACGTAAGACCACAAAATGGAGGAGGAGCTCTGCCGAAAAATCGCCTCAGCGGTTACAGAGCGAATGAACACCAAACTCTTCAAGTCCTTCAATCGATTTTCGAAGGCTTCTCTTGAGGCCCATTCTTCATTAGCCAAATAATATTCCAGTAACATCTGGACCATAAGGTCAACGTAAAACAACCTCCCAGCTAAACTCTCGGAGCTTCTGGTGAGTTACTATTTGTTTGTTTGTTCTGGTATTGTTCTGATGAAACACATTTTCCCTCGTTAGTCCCATCAAACATACAATACAACAAAACCTTCCGGCCCTCTATCCTGGCTCAGAGACCGTTTGTGCCGGCACACAGCTCTTCACTCGTGGCACTTTTCATTTGATGTTGTTATAAGAGATATATTTTTAATCACCATTTACTATCCGCTTCCAAAATGGGTAGATTTTGTTACGATTCAAAAGCGATGCACAGATGGAAATTTCTCGTTAACTCTTGTAGCCGTCATGCATCCAGATTCTTTCTGTTAGCCAAGGAAAGGAAGAACTTATGTATTCAGCAATTAAGGGCAATCGAAACAGTGCCCGTATGGCGATCAGACTGGATGATTTCAATTATCTACGTTGGCTTTCCACACCGTGGAGCGTCTTTTACTGATGTAAATTCCCGGAAAAAAAACATGCGAAATAAAAATTTTGCATTCTTGACTGTTACAATATGAGGACTATAAACTGTTCAAGCTTTAAGCTGCCTGACTTTTATTTAAGCCTTTATCGAAAAAACTTGCAAATA